GGGCGGTCCGCGGCGCGCGGGGGCGCCGCGCCACGGGCGCCGGCGGAGTGGGGCAGTGCTCACGACTGCGGGGCCTGCAGTTCGCCTGGCTTCGCGCGGCGCGCCCAAGGGGAATAAGGAAGAGGGGGAGGGGGAGGAGGAGGAGGAGGAGGAGGAGGAGGAGGAGGAGGAGGAGGAGGAAACGGGGGAGGAGGAGGAGGAGAGGAGGAGCAGGAGGAGGAGGAGGAAGAGGAGGAGGGGGAGGCGGAGGAGGGGGAGGTGGAGGACGAGGAGGGGGAGCAGGGGAAGGATGAGGAGGGGGAGGAGGAGGGGGAGGGTAGGGGATGATGATGATGATGATGATGATGATGATGATGATGATGATGATGATGATGATGGTGATGATGATGACGAGGAGGAGGAGGAGGAGGAGGAGGAGGAGGAGGAGGAGGAGGAGGGGGAGGATGAGGATGAGGATGAGGAGGGAGGAGGAGGAGAGGAGGAGGAGGAGGAGAGAGAGAACGGGGGATTGTGGAGTCCCTGTGGTTCCAAAGCGCGCGCGCGAGGCTTTCGCGCTGAGTTCGCGACTGTTTCTGTGCAAACTCTGCTCTGTGTCGTCCTCCTCCTCCCTCCTCCTCCTCCGCCTCCTCCTCCTCCTCCTCCCCCTCCTCCTACCTCTCTGCCTTTTTTTTTTTTTCCTCCTGGCGCCCCCCCCCCAGAAAAAAAAACACATTTTTTATTTGTTTTTTTTTTGTCTGGGGGGGGGGACGCCAGGAGAAAAAAAAGGAATACGACGTGGCCATATCTGACCTCCCCCCTAGAAGGATTCCTATTGAACGCCCCCATAAGAAGGATTCACAGTGGAATCCTCGACAGAAGGGTTCCTATCGAAACCCTCCACTGAATGATTCCTACTGAAATCCTCCACATGTGGATTCCTACTGAAACCCTCCACCGAATGATTCCTACTGAAATCCTCGAATGGCAATGGCAATGGCAATGGCAATGGCAATGGTAATGATAGTGGTAATGGTAATGGTACTGGTAATGGTTACGGTAATGATAGCGGTAGCGGGGTAGCGAGGCAATGACAATGGCAATGGCAACGGTAATGGTAATGGCAATGGAAATGGCCATGGCAATTGTAAGGGTAAAGGTGAAGGTAGAGGTAAAGGTAATGGTAGTGGTAATGGCAATGGCAGTGGTAATGGTAATGGTAATGGGAATGGGAGTGGGAATGGGAACGAGAACGGGAATGGAAATGATAGTGGTAGTGGTAATGGTAATGGCACTGGTAATGGTAATGGAAATGTTAATGGTATTGGGAATGTGAATGATAATGGGAATTCTAATGGTAATGGCAGCGGTAATGGTAATGGTAATGGTAATGGTAATGGTAATTGTAATGGTAATGGTAATGGGAATGGAAATGGGAATGGGATTGGCAATGGTAATGGTAGTGGCGAATGGCAATGGCAATGGCAATGGCAATGGCAATGACAGAGGTAATGGTAATGGTACTGGTAATGATAATGGTAACGGTAATGGTAACGGGGTAGCGATTGGCAATGGCAATGACAATGACAATGGCAACGGTAATGGCAATGGCAATGGGATTGGCGATGGCAATGGCAATGATAATGGCAATGGTAAATGTAATGGTAATGGCAATGGTCGTGGGAATGGGAACGTGAATGGGAATGGGAACGGGAAAAGAAATGGTATTGGTAGTGGTAACGGAAATGAGAATGATAAGGGTAAGGGTAAAGGTAAAGGTAGAGGTCAAGGTAATGGTAATGGTAATGGACATGATAATGGTAATGGTAATGGTAATGGTCATGGGAATGGGAATGGCAATGGAAATGGTACTGGCAATGGTAATGGTAGTGGCTAATGGCAATGGCTATGGCAATGCGAATGGTAATGGTAATGGCAGAGGTAATGGTAATGGTACTGGTAATGGTACCGGTAATGATAGTGGTAACGGGGTAGCGACTGGCAATGGCAATGGCAATGGCAATGGCAACGGCAATGGCAATGACAATGGTAATGGCAATGACAATGGTAATGGCCATGGCCATGGGAATGGTAATGGTAATGTATGGGAATGGGAACGGGAATGGAAATGTGAATGTGAATGTGAATGGGAACGGGAATGGAAATGGCAGTGGTAGTGGTAACGGAAATGGTAAGGGTAAGGGTAAAGGTAGAGGTAAAGGTAATGGTAATGGCAATGGCAATGGTAATGGTATTGGGAATGTGAATCGGAATGGTAATGGTACTGGCAATGGTAATGGTAGTGGCGAATGGCAATGGCAATGGCAGTGGTAATGGTAATGCTAATGGTAATGGCAATGGTAATGGTAGTGGCGAATGGCAATGGCAATGGTAATGGTAATGGCAATGACAATGGTAATGGTACTGGGAATAGTAATGGTGACGGTAACGGTAATGGTTATGGCAACGGTAACGGGGTAGCGACTGGCAATGGCAATGGCAATGGCGATGGCAACGGTAACGGTAATGGTAATGGCAATGTGAATGGCAACGGCAATGGCGATGGCAATGGCAATGGCCATGGCAATGGTAATGGTAATGGTCATGGTCATGGTCATGGTCATGGTAATTGTAATGGTAATGGGGATGGGGATGGGAATGGGAATCGTAGTGGTAATTGGAACGGGAATGGAAATGGGAGTGGGAGTGGTAGTGGTAATGATAATGGCAATGGTAATGGAAATGGTAACGGTAATGGCAATGGTGATGGTAATGGGAACTGTAATGGTAATGGCAGCGGTAATGGTAATGGTAATGGTAATGGTAATTGTAATGGTAATGGTAATGGTAATGATAATGGCAGTGGTGTTGGTAATGCTAATGGTAATGGCAATGGTAATGGCAATCGCTAATGGTAATGGGAATGGCAATGGTAATGACAATGGTAATGGTATTGGTACTGGTAATGGTAATAGTGATGGTAATGGTAACGGGGTGGCGACTGGCAATGGCAATACAATGGCAATGGCACTGGTAATGGCAATGGGAATGGCAATGACAATGGCAATTGTAATGGCCATGGTAATGGTAATGGTAATGGTAAAGGTAAAGATAAAGGTAATGGTAATGGTAATGTGAATGGCAATGGCAATGGAAATGGGGATGGGAATGGTAATGGTAATGGTATCGGGAGTGGGAATGGGAGTGGGAGGGATTGAGAGAGAGAGAGAGAAACATGAATGAGAGAGAGAGAGAGAGAGAGAAACATGGGAGAGATTGAGAGAGAGAGAGAGAGAGAATAATGATGAGGAGCAACGTGAAATATCGTAAAACATCAACTGAAACCCACAGGGACTTCACAAATCCCCCGGCCTCGAGAACGAGGAGGAGGAGGAGGAGGAGGAGGAGGAGGAGGGGAGGAGGGGGAGGAGGAGAGGAGGAGGAGAAGGAGGAGGAGGAGGAGGAGGAGGCGGAGGAGGAGGAGGAGGCTGAGGAGGAGGAGGAGGAGGAGAAGGGGGGGAGGGTGGGGGGGAGGAGGAGGAGGGGAGGGGGAGGGTGAGGGGGAGGATGAGGAGGAGGAGGAGGAGGAGGAGGAGGAGGAGGAGGAGGAGGAGGGAGGAGGAGGAGGAGGAGGAGGAGGGGGAGCAGGGGAAGGATGAGGAGGAGGAGGAAGAGGAGGATGGGGGGGGAGGAGGAGGAGGAGAAGGAGGAGGAGGAGGAGGAGGAGGAGGAGGAGGAGGAGGAGGAGGAGGAGGAGGAGGAGGAGGGAGGAGGAAGCAAGATACCGCGTCTCCTACGACGGCTTCTCCCTTTGAGTGGCCCCGCCGCTCTTCGCCATCCCCTCCCTCCCCCGCGTACGTCAGTGCATGATCTGGTGTTTCCCTCTCATTCTTTCTGGGCGCCTACCATTGGCGGCATTTGGGGGTACCGCCGCCGTGCTAATTATGCCTCCCGCTGGGTGCGCGCGAGCGCGGGGGTGGACTGGGACCGCCCGATATCGCTTCTGCAGGAGGAGGAGAAACATGAGGATAGCGGATGGAGGGGAAGAGGAGGAGAAGGAGGAGGAGGAGGAGGAGGAGGAGGAGGAGGACGAGGACGAGGAGGAGGAGGAGGCGGAGGGGGAGGGGGAGGAGGAGGAGGAGGAGGAGGATGGAGGAGGACCAGTGTAAACCCAAGACTCATCGACCCTCCCTCCAAGTTCCTTATGCATCGTCCCCTACAAGAATTCATTTTCACTGAAGAAATGCCCCGCTGGAAGACAACCGTTTGAAATTCAAAACTGTGCCGAAACACCTTTTCCGGGACTTCAACGCCGCGAATGCCCGCTACTGCTGCGTCTTGACGATCCTGAATCGAGCCAGACTACTATCTTGCGCCCTGACATTCCGGCATCGTGTCGAAACACAATTTCTGGGACGTCAGCCATCATAATCCTTAGAGCTGCTGCGAACTTTTAAGACGAATGTGCTGTCGAAAAGGATCCACCCTCCGTCCGTGAAGCTGTTGCAAACTTTTAGAGCGAATGTGCGTGGATCTCAAACGAAACCAACATTTTTAAAACGAGCCGGCATCCACCCATGAAGCTGTTGCAGACTTTTAAAACGAATGAACGCGGCGCTAAGGGGAGAACCGCATATTGAAAACCACTCGCCTTCCGTCCGCGAAACTGTTGCAAACTTTTGAAGTGAATGTGCGCGGCGCTAAAAAGCGAGAACCACATTTTGAAAACCACCCGCCCTCCATCCGTTACACGGTTGCAGCCTTTCCAATTAAGGATCATACATGGTGAAGAAGTCTCAAGCGAAACGCCTGGCCTGTCCTTTCGACCGGCGTCGGGGTGCGATAGGGAGGAGTTATTCACAAGGCAGACGAAGGGAGGATGATGGGAGCATATGAAAGGGCATGTCTTGCAGCGCGGTGTCAGGGTGGGGTCGCGCTGGCCCCCCTCTCCCCACCTAGCCCTTCACGTCCTCCTCCTCCCCTTCCTCCTGGCCCCACTGTTGAGTCCTTTGGAATGACCCTGAGCGTTTTTGGAACATTTGGAAATGTGGCAGACCTGTGTGTTCAGACGTGGCTGATATAAGGTCACGGGCACGACAAGTGGAGAAGGATTCGCTGCATCGGGCCAATGGCAAAGCTCTCAGGAAGCTAGAACGAAAAGACCTTCGCATGGTATGATGTAAGAAGAGAGGCTCGCCAAAGCACGCAGGTGGACGAGGAATTGTGGACGTTGGGACAAAACAAGATACATCCTCATCATCAACATGGTACAGATCGACGGCTGCTTTGGCCATCGGCCACATGATGCGGACAAACCCACCTCGGAATCATAGTTCGCTGTGTGCTTACGTAATGAACTGACGAAGCATCTCACGACTGCAAAACAACCCATGCATGGGCTGCTCGCGGAGATAAACACACGCTCAAACAACGACTGCTCTATGAAACGTGTTTCTAGCGAAGATTCATCGTCAAACGCCTGCGCCGTAGGAAACCGTGCCTCGAAGGAGCTCTCAGACTATTTACCGTCCCTTTGAGACGCAACATGTGGCACTTGCCGAAACACCGGTGTCCCTAATCGCAAAGTCCCTGCTGTGAAACTTGGCATTGCCACGTATGGGAACTCGCTGGCTGCACCGTGTGCGTCGCCAATCATAAGGCTTGCACGGTCGCTGTGCGCAATCTACCAGATGATCAAATGCTGTGTGCATGAGGTGCCTACTAGCGTTGACCCCGGAAGGCCGTGGAGTAAAGTATTAGGGTTACCAAGGTCGTGGTTTGATAGATATTCGTTCGTGTGATGTCTGCGCGTGCGATGATGGCGCAGGCGGTGATGCGTAAGGATGATGGCGGTGATGCAAACAACAAGTAAACGCTGAATTCCATGCGCAACCCACCAACCAACATGTACGACCCGAATGCACAACCCCGACAGGTCGTTTCCCGCGTGAGGGTCCCAACCCCTCTCGTTAAACATAACATTTTCTTATGCTGCTCGTACCTCCCAAGCCACTTTAATCATCATTGTTATAACGACAACAGCCGTACCACATATCTATGTGTATATGTATACAGAAATGTGATCCAGTCGCCAATACCTTCGTGCCCGCTTTAGGGTCACATCTTCGTCTCCTCCCCCTCCTTCTGCTCCTATGCCTCCTCCTACATCTTTTCATCGTCGTCCTTCTGCTCGGCCGCTTCCATCGCCTCCACATATTCCTCGTCTTCCTCCCTCTCTCCTCCCTGGTTAGTTTTGTTGGCAATTCGAAGGTGCACGGGGTAGTTGAAGGGCGACTGTGAATTATGGGGCTGCTGCGAAATAACCTCTGGGCGGACAGTGGTCCTGTCCGTGCGACGTCCATTGTGAATGATGCGATGTTGGTATCGGGTGGCTGCGACAAAAAAACCCACTATGACCAACTGTGTCTTACTCTCGTAAAGTGAACCGTCACGATGCCCTGATTGCTGACTTTCTCACCGTCAGCTATGATCAGCTTACCTTGGCTGAAATGTGTGATGGGTGCGGCAACTCCAGAGATCATAGTAACGTGTACGTTTAATTCTGCTTGGTCTCACTGCTCCTGGCCCCGGTATGGCTACAAGGTGCCAAGAGTCAGAACATGCAAGGTTAGCGCAAGACGGGCCCTCCTGACCAAGTATAAAGTGGCGGCGCGCAAGAAGGGGCCAGGCCGAGGCTGGCGGCCTTCGAGCAGGCACAGAGCTTCCTAGAATGGGGGGGAATATTAGGGGACAAACGACTCAGGGGAGGAAGCGTCGAGCTTGAATCGGTGATACATACATCGCCGATCGATCGGCGATCGGCCCCCGCTAGCGGCGATGCCTGGGCGATTGGGGGTCGATGCGTCCCCCCCTGTGCGTATCCCCCCGTAACAGTGCCCCTGAGGATCTGCCCCTTCGTAGGGGATCCCCCTGAGGAAGGCCTCAGCTGCCCCGATGACCCACACGCAACGCGTAGCGCACTGATGCGGAGCTCAACACGCAGACCGACAACGCAGGCCTGACGCGATGCGCTCAACACGCTGAGCCAGCACGCAACGTATCGACACGGACACTCTGAGCACGGGACGTGCTGCTTTTCGCAACGGGCGTATCGGGGCAGTTGAGAGGCGGGCCTCTCGGCAGACAGGAGTACTCTTAAGTCGGGCGTGTCCCCCCACAGAGGGATTTTCGACGAAAAAGAAACAAATACCGAAAACAAACTCCCAAATAGTCAAACAATAGCCAACCAATAGTCTGGGGACTATTTTTTTGACTATTTTCGAACTTTTTTGGAATATTTTCGGGATACTTTGAATTTATCGCCCAAAATCCCCCTGTAGGGGGACACGCCCGACTTAAGAGCACTCCTGAGAGGCGGGGTGCGTCTGCACTCGTCGTGCCACCGCAGGGGCAGCCGCGTAACCTGCCATCGCTCGGACGTCCATTCCCGGTGCATCCTTCGGCTTCGTGAGTTTCTTCTTCGCACGGTCAGCCGAGATGCTGCTCGATTGTCATCGCCGAGTGTATGTTTCGGTTTCGTGCGCTGGTCTTTCCGCAGGATGAGCCGAGATGCTCCTCGAGGGTCCTCGTCGAAGAGGAAATGCACACGACCGAGCGCTGCCAAGGAGTGGGCTTTGTCTGGCCACGGCGAGCCTCGGCCACGCGTGGGCTTCTCGACCTGGACCTGAGGAGCGGCCCGAAAAATGGAGAGCCCCTCCTGAGCCCAGAGTGGTCCCGCTTTTAGGGCGCGCGATCACAAATCTTCACCTGACTTGGCCTCGACCCTCGACCACTGAGCAAATCAAGAGATCGCGAGGCAAACTGGACACACCACACGAGCTTAGCTGCTATAGGCAAACTCACGGACTGAATCGTGGCCTGAAAGAGGAACGGGTGTGCCGCAGGCGTGGGGAAGAGGGGAGAGGAAGAAGCGAGAAGGACACAGCGCCACAACCTGACTGTACCCCCTGAGAGATCACAACTAACGAATGATTCGTGCGTAAGAAAAGAGCGGCAACTGCGAATCTGGCCCAAACACCCGGGCGGCGCGGCATTGAGCCGGCGGCCGACTAACGCGTGCAACAGACGCATAATTCTCAGAGCGCTTGCAATATCGGAAAACTTTCAGGTGCACGAGTTGGCCTGAGAGACTTGCGCATTTCTGACATCGAGCTCGACCCCCGATTAGTCGGGGAGGGGGGAGGCGCCGTGTGCATGTACCTCCTGAGATCGAGCGGGGCCTCAGGGAGCACGCGGCCATCTGTGAAACTGGCCCGAGGGACAGGGATCGGGGGTGCGCAAACATGGATTAGCGATCCATGGATTTGGCGCGCGGTCGCCAAATCCATGGATCGGGGGAGGTGCCCTCCCCAAAATGCGGCCGGTGCCGCCTCGTTCGGAGGCGGAAGTCCGCGACTTCCCATGGAAGCGGAACCCGTCGCTAATCCACGCCCCCTTGATCCATACATGCGATCGCCTGAAGGGAGTCCTGATGGAAACGGGCCCTGGACACCTTGAGGGCTTCCCCCTGGGACCAGCTTCTCACCCCGAGTCGTTGAGCTGACTGCCCACGGGCCCGGGGGGAGAGCCTCAACCTCCAAGGCCCCTTTCCTTCATGCTGGCCTTGACGAATCGCCCCCCCCCCCCCCCAGACCTCTCGAAATGGCGCGCTCTGGCAAGAATTCCGAGGAGAGTTCAACCGAGGCGATGAGAAACCTCCTGGAGGCACAAAATGGCCAGACAAATGTCCAAAAACCTCGGCCCTCGATGCTCAACAAAAACATGCGACTCTCTCAAGCTTCTCGAGCACAAGTGGCTCGCGGGCGCGCTGTCCTGGGCCAACGCTCTTCCAGGTCAGCCAGAGCCATGTCGGGACACCCCGCGGCCGGCCGCGCGACGGCTTCCAAACCTGGGCCAGCTGCGGAAGGTGAGGGGTGGTCATTCCGGGAACCCTGAATCCAAGGCAACCTGCATCTCTTGGACGGCCGATCTTTCCTTCCGCTGGCTTCCACTTGGCGGAGCCGCCCCCCAGAACCTCCCGCCAGCTTCCGCCGAGGAGGAAGCGTCAACTCCTCGACCCCTCGACGGTGAAGCCCTGCCTGGAATGGCCCAAACTCCCAGAATCCGGACCCGCCAGAAGGTATTGACGGACTCCCGTCAGTGCTGATTCCTGTTGACTGCGCTCCATTCTGACTTTCGGCTCTCAGCTCGGGCCTCACGCGGCCGTTTCAGCTCCACGTAGCGCAGCCGATGAGAGCCACCTGGGGCCTCCAAAAACCTCAGAAAATTTCAGGAATCCTCCGAACATCTCCGGCGGGATTGGCTGACTTCCGTTCGCTGAGGTGGAGCGATGAGGGAGGACCTGTCCAAGGGGGAAACATCGACCTGGAATCGGCGATGCATCGCCGAGAGATCGGCCACAGGCCTCGGATAGCGAAACCGCCCGCTCCTGGCGGAGCGGGCAATCAGGCCCCTATCGGCGATCCATCAGCGACTGGGGATCGATCCATCCCCCTTGGGCCTTTCCCCACCTGAGCGACGAAAAAGAACGGGTCTAACGTGAAATGATATAGCGACCTTACGCCGTGGCTTACGCGGGCCGGCAGCGCGGCACGCCACGGTGGAAGCGAAGGCGCTTACGCGCGACCTTACGCGGGCAGCTTGCGCACGAATGTTGGTGAAGGCGGCAATCTTTTTCCAAGGTCCGTCTTCCTGACCTCCGGGGCGTGCGGCCCTGCGCTCGTCACCGCCAAGGTCAGGCCTCTCTTCTTTTTTTCTGGCTAGCGAAGCAGCTGGGCAGCGGACATCCATGTTAAAACCAATCCTCCTCCTCCTCCTCCTCCTCCTCCTCCTCCTCCTCCTCCTCCTCCTCCTCCTCTGTTTCCCCTCTGCCTCCCTCCGATCGGCGCTGGCCCCCGTTGCCCGCGCCCCGCGCAACGCGGTGGGCGCCCCCGCCTGGCCCGCGCGGCTCCTCGCGGGGGGCCTCACAGCTGGGTGTTGGGGGGGCCGAGGAAGAGGTGAACCTCGAAGCCCGGGGGAAAGCGCTGGCCTCGGCAGGGGAGGGGGGGAGGGAGGGAGAGAGGGAAGGATGGAGGAGGAAGGAGGAACGAGGAGGTGGGAGGAGGGGGAGGACGAAATGAGGGAGGAGGCGGAGGAGGCGGAGGAAGCGGCGGCGGAGCAGCAGGAGGAGGAGGAGGATGAGGATGAGGAATATGAGGAGGAGGAGGAGGAGGAGGAGGAGGAGGAGGTGGAGGAGGGGGAGGAGGGGGAGGAGGAGGAGCAGCAGGAATAATGACAATCAGGTAGAAGGAGGGAGGAGGTCCGAGCGTCTGGGGGGTGTGGCGGGTCATCCCAAACTAACTAGGCCGATCTACTGTACTCGCGCGCGCGTGCTCCTTCATCGTCGTGCTGGATCAGCTTGCGCGCATGCACATGCAACGCAGACGAGGAGAGGCGGAGGGCGATGAGGTCGGAGCGGCGGAGGAAGTGGGGTGGAGCGGGGGGCCCAATGCTTACTCAGGACCTTGGACTCCTGGACCATGTACGCAACACTCTGGCTCGGCTTAGAATCCAGGGACCTCTGCAGACGTGTGTGTCGATCGGCTCTGAAGTAGGCCGTGGCCGAGGCGCTCGCGTCAGCCGCCGTCGCGCTCCACCGTCTCGCCCGCAGTTCAGCACGTCGCACAGCCTTCTGATGCGCCGCCGCCGCAAAACTTGTAGGGCGGATTGAAGGCAGTTCCCTTTCAAACTGTGGCTGTTGCCTTAGCGCCGCGCGCTTTCGTTTCAAACGTTGCAAGGACTTAGCGGGCTCCCATATTTAACGTGCCCGACGTGGCATTTTGAAACGATTCAGAATTGCCAGGTCGCAGCAGTTACGTTGTTTCGTGGTGTTGAAGTCCCAGGAATTGTTCTGGCACGGATCAGGGTCGCCAAGACGCAACAGCCAAGTTTATTCGTGGCGTTGAAATGAAGAGAACTGTGCTCTTTGGCGCGCCTCAGGTTTTTTAAACGGTTGCTTCCCATGATGATCGCACGTATCTGCGGACAAGGTGTGAAAACGATGATGATGATGGTGATGATGATGATGGTAATGATGTTGATGATAATGGTGGTGATGATGGTGAGGAGGAGGAGGAGAAAGAGGAGAACACACATAATAAGCCCAATACGCATCCACGACTCTGCAACGCAACTTCCCGTCCAAGTCCCCTCCTCATAGGTCACTAGAAAGACCCCCCTCCACTGCAGGAAATGCACCACACATATTGCCCCACATAGTCTGCACCACAAAGACTGTACCACATAAGTTGTATCACATCGCGTCGACACTTGTAAAAACATACATTTGTTGGTAGTCACGCTGGCTGGAGGAGGAGGAGCAGGAGGAGGCGAGGAGGAGTGATGAGACAAAATACGAATAGAACTATTATGCCGTAGGGTGCCGTTGCGGACGCCTGTGCCGGGAACCTTTCACCAACCCTCAAGTCGCCACTTACTGGATTAAGCTCCATTCGGCTGGGGGCATCGGCGTTGATGCAGCCTCGCGCTGATTTCATACAATCTCACTCATGCGTGTGATTCTTTCGGATGAGAAGTGAGGAGGAGGAGGAGGAGGAGGAGGAGGAGGAGGAGGAGGAGGAGGAGGAGGAGGAGGAGGAGGAGGAGGAGGAGGAGGAGGAGGAGGAGGACGAGATGAGCCGCAGCAGCAGCATCAGCATCAGCATCAGCATCAGCATCAGCATCAGCATCATCATCATCATCATCATCATCATCATCATCATCATCATCATCATCAGCAGCAGCAGCAGCAGCAGCAGCAGCAGCAGCAGCAGCAGCAGCGGCAACACATGGCACGTGTGCCATGGCTCTTGCACAAAAAAGAAGGGGGAGGAGGAGGAGGAGGAGGAGGGGGAGGAGGAGGGGGGATGAGAGGGGCAAGACATCGCCCCTCGGGGCCCAGCAACGGGGCCCAAATCCCAGGTGGGGAGGGGGGGGGAGGTGGTGTGCGTCGCGACGCGGAATGCAATGCTCGGAGGTCCCACTGGGGCGCTGGGGGCGCGGAGAGGAGGGGGGGGAGGTGGTGTGCGTCGCGACGCGGAATAAAGTGGTCGGGGCGGAGAGGCACGGGGCGGGGGTCCCACTGGGGCGCTGGGGCGCAAGGGACGCGGGGGGGAAGGGGGGAGGTGGTGTGCGTCGCGACGCGGAATAAATAGTCGGGGCAGAGGGCCACGGGGCGGGCGCCCACTGGGGCGCTGGGGACGCGGGGGGGAGGTGGTGTGCGTCGCGACGCGGAATAGAATGCTCGGGGCGGAGGGGGCACGGGTGGAGATCCCACTGGGGCGCTGGGGACGCGGGGCGGCTCGGGGCAGAGGGCCACGGGGCGGGGGTTCCACTGGGGCGCTGGGGACGCGGCGGGGGGGGGAGGTGGTGTGCGTCGCGACGCGGAATAAAGTTGTCGGGCGGGGGGGCAGTGGGGCGGGCTGGGCTCGGGCCGACTGAGGCGCTGGGGACGCGGGGGTGGTGAGGTGAGGGATGGTGGTGTGCGCCGCGACGCGGAAAAAACGTTCGTGGCGGAGGGGGCTGCGGGCGGGGCTCCTACTGGAGCGCTGGGGACGCGGGGGGGCTCGGGGTGACTCGGCTGGGCTCCTACCAGGGCGCCGGGGGCGCGAGGGGGGAGGGTGGGTGAGGTGGCGTGCGTCGCGACGCGGAATAAAACTGTCGGGGCGGAGGGGGCGCTGGGCGGTGCTTGGGGCAGAGGGCCACGGGGCGGGGGTTCCAACTGGGGCCGCCGGGGGCAGGAAAGGGAAGGGGGGAGGCGGCGTGCATCGCGACGGGGAATCATACTGTCGGGGCGGAGGGGGCACGGGGCGGAGCCCCCACTGGGGCGCTGGGACGCGGGGAGGGAGGTGGGGGAGGTGGTGTGCGTCGCCACGCGGAATAAAGTGGTCGTGGCGGGGGGGTCAGTGGGCGGGGCTCCCTCTGGGGCGCTGGGGACGCGGGGGGGCTCGGGGCAGAGAGCCACGGGGCGGGGGTCCCACTCAGGCGCTGGGGGCGCGGGAGGGGGGGGGGGTCGGGGGTCCCACTGGAGCGGTGGGGACGTTGGGGGGAGGGGGGGAGGTGGTGGTGTGCGTCGCGACGCGGAATAAATTAGCGGGGCGGAGCAGGCACGGGGCGGAGCTCCCACTGGGGCGCTGGGGACGCGGGGAGGAAGGTGGCTGAGGTGGTGTCCGTCGCGACGCGGAATAGAAAGTTCGTGGCGTAGGGGGCAATGGGCGGGGCTCCCACTGGGGCGCTGGGGACGCTGGGCGGCTCGGGGCAGATGGCCACGGGGCGGGGGTTCCACTGGGACGCTGGGGACGCGGCGAGGGGGGGAGGTGGTGTGCGTCGCCACGCGGAATAAAGTGGTCGTGGCGGAAAGGGCAGTGGGCGGGGCCCCCACTGGGGGAGGAGAGGTGGTGATGTGGTGCGTGAGGAGGGGGAGGTGGGTGTGCGTCGCGACGCGAAATAAAGTGGTTGGAGCTCTAGACACCCTGTGGAAGAGAATGAAGTGGAACTCCCAGGGCCTCCACGAGGCCCGACCTAATTTTGAATCTAGGGGGGGGGCTGGGGGCAAACACGGGGTCGAACACAGAAGGGTTCTACCTTTTCGTCCCCTTCCCGTCCGTCCCTCCTCCTTCCTCCCTCCCTCCCTCCCTCCCTCCTCCTCAGACATCCGGCTGCTCCAATGTGTTTGCTGCCTGGGCTCTGGAGTCTGGACCACTTCCCCCAGGGCCAGTGTTTCGTGCTGAATGGTGTTTTGACGGTCCCGAGGCCCAGCGATGGCCCCGAGAGGCCGAACATAACTACAAACCCGCCGCTCCAACTTTTTCGGAGCGTCAGATCTCTGGGTCCCTCCTCCCTTGGGAGGCCCCCAAACGGTGTGGTGACCACACCGTGCGGTGAGTCGGTGGGGATTCGGGGTCACCGCACGGTTTTGGGACTCGAGTCCCTCTCCGAGGATGTCTCGGGCGAGAGGGGCCTCCAGGGTCCCAAGACCGTGCGGTGACGGACCGTGCGGTGAGGTCTCTTGGGGTTCCCAGGTCACCGCACGGTCTTTCACCGCACCGTTTCGGGACTCCAAATCCCTCCCTCCCGCCCTTCTCCTCGCCGGAGGCGCGGTCCTCCTCCATCTTGGCGTTCATCGCGTCGCGCGCGGAGCGCGCCTGCTGCGAGAAGCCTCGCGGGGCCAGGACGGGCCAAGTGGCTTCAGGGGCGAGAGCAGGGGAAGGAATAGAAGGGGGGAGATCTCCTACTCCTCCTCCTCATCATCATCATCATCAGCATCATCGTCATCGTCATCATCATCATCATCATCATCATCATCAGCATCATCATCATGATCATGACCATGATCATGATCATCATCATCATCATCATCATCACATCAGCATCAGCATCAGCATCAGCATCAGCATCATCATCACCACCACCACCATCATCATCATCATCACCATCACCATCATCATCATCAGCATCATCATCATCACCATCACCATCACCATCACCATCACCATCACCATCACCATCATCATCATCATCATCATCACCATCACCATCACCATCACCATCATCATCAGCATCATCAGCATCATCATCATCACCATCACCATCACCATCACCATCACCATCACCATCACCATCATCATCATCATCATCATCATCACCATCTGTACTGCCGTCCTCTGCGGGGACGGCGGCAGCCATCAAAGAGAATAAAGGCACAGGACTTCATTTTGCGCTCGGGCGCCGCCGCGGCCGATAGGTATCGGCAGGTTCCTGACGGGGTCGCTTGGACCCGGAAGCTGTGGCACCAGGCGAGGCTCGGACTGTCGGCCTCGCTGGCACCCGAGAGTTGAAAAGCATCGAGCACAGGAAAAAAGAAGGGAGGAGGAGGGGAATGGGCGGAGCCAGAAAAGCTGCAGAGGACTCTGATGCGGACAGTGATAATGTGTCGCACTTTCAATCACCATCTGTACTGCCGTCCTCTGCGGGGACGGCGGCAGCCATCAA